GGGCCGCCGACCCGGAAACTCATGGGCGGCCGCGGCCCGCGGCGCCCCGACGGGAAGCGGATCCGCCGGGGGCGGAGCGGCGCGGGGCGGAGCGGCCGCGAGGATGCGGCGGCGGCTGCCGCTGACGACGGGTGAGGCGGAGGTAGTGGGGCCGGGCTGGAGCGGGCTGGAGCTTGCAGCCGTTCCCGGGGCTGCTCTCGGCCGCGGTGTCGGCCCGTCCCGTCCCGAGCGGGGCCGGGTTTGCGCCGCGCTGAGCGCCGCTCCGCGGTGCTTCCCTTGCAGGGCCGCCCGAGCCGTGAGCCCGGCCGCGGGCCGGCGCCTCCGCCGAGGTGAGGGCGCCCGCTGCCGCTCCCCGGCCGCTGCATCCCGCAGCCCTCCTGGAGCGCCGGCCCCGGGAGCGCCGCTTCCCAGCGCGGGCGACGTTGGGCGCCGAGGTTGGTCCGCGGGTAACGGGACCCCGCGTGCCGGGAAGGGGCTTTGCCGCGTGCGGGAGAACCCCGCGCTGCAACAGCCCGGCACCATCGCCGCCCTCAGCGGGGCTTAGTTACCCCCCACCCGGGCCTTCCCTCCGTCACCCCCTCGGAGAGGTGTTTCCGGGGCAGGAATCGGCGTTTTTGGTTAAAGCAGAGTGTAGCCTGAAGTGTAAATGCCCCTCCGAGYGCGCCTGGGCAGAGCGGAGGGCATCACCTTCTGAGGCGAAGAGGTCGGGCCCCATTTACGGCCCTGCTGAAGTAAGGAAGAACTAAAGTGTAAATCCATAATAYGGATTATTCTCATCGGTTCTGCTAGCTGGGCCTTAGGCGAGGCTATGTTCTCCTCCCCGTAGCGGGAAAAAAGAAAGGGAAATCGGCCTTCCTCCTTTKTATTTAAGTTCCCGTCGAATTGGTGGAACTGTTGTGCTTGAAAATATGTTTTATAAGTCATGCAGCTTGACACTTTTTCAAGGTCTTTATTTTTTCCATTTCATAGTTTCCTGAGTCAATTTTTTTTTTTGGCCTGGCTTGTGAAATAGACAAATATTTGAAAATTGAAAAAATAAAATGCATTTTTTTTGTAAAAGTATTTTAGAGAGAACAGGATCATTCTTTAATCTCTTCAATAAAACATTTCCCCCATCCTTTTATTTGTCTACTTTTTTTTTTCCTTTGTTCATTTGTGGTTTTTTTTTTTTTTTTGGAAGTGAGGTGGAATTATGCAATCGTTGATATCTTCCAGTTTAAGAAATATAAACGAATAAAGCAAAACATCAATGGCTATAATTGCTATATCCTGCGGTTTGGGGTGCTCTTGTTTTTTGTTCGCATGTGTGTGTGTGTTTAACTGAACTTTTCTCTCCTGTTTATTTCATTGCTTGTAGTGATAAATTTAAAAAGAAGGCAAGATGGGAAACCCAGAAAACATTGGAGATGCATATGTTGCTGTGATTCGTCCCAAAAATACTGCTAGCCTGAATTCCCGGGAATATCGAGCAAAATCCTATGAAGTAAAACATTTTTCTTATTAAAAATTTTAAAATAATATCTATAATGTTAAAAATAATATATATATATATAATAATATAGCAGAAAAGCGGATCTTACAGTAAGATACTTAAAACAATGTATGCACATCATACATATATATCTACTATGCATTGCCCCATTGSTACAGTGCTGGAAAACTTTACAACTTTATAATTCTTTGCTCTTGTTGATCTTTGCAATCCCTGTTAGAGAGCTAAACAATAATATCTATGCTAGTAGGAAACCAGAGACTTAATCATGCTTAAGAAAGATACTAAAGCCCTAAAATAAAGGAGTTTACTTATTTATTTAAGCCCTAAAATACTAAGRCTTCAGAGGTATTTTTATAACCAGCTGCCATTTATTTCAGGAAGAACTTCTTTTTGTTTGTTTAGSCTCTCAATTTTCTTGGTAAGATCGTAAGACATCTTACTTAGAACTTCGACTAAGAGAGAGAAGGGACTGGAATATGGTTGTGAAGCAAATGAAAAATATCAAGCACCAGGAAATGTTCAAGCAAATTCCAGGGCCTCAGGATGCTTAGCTATTTTGTTATGCTACRTGAGCTTGAAGGAATTATTTTTTAATTACATTCCTTAGTTCTCTAAAGCCTACAAGCTTAAACACTAAAGTATACAGAGAATATACAACACTTTTTTTTTTTTTTAAAGTGACTCTGCATGTGCTTCATGGACATATCTTGCAAGTCAGACCTTGGCCTTTTGCCCTGCGTAGGGGGTCAGTACAAGGATGCAGCCTTGCATTTTTCAGTGGTACAACAAAAAACAACAACCAAAAGTGTTCTGTATTTGTTTCAGTTGTGCTTAAACACTGCTTTGCTTTCTTTATTGTTTGAAAGATACTGTTGCTCGAAGTTCCCATTGAAGGCCAAAAGAAAAAAAGAAAGAAAGTTTTGTTGGAAGCTAAACTGCAGGGGGGCACTGAGATAGCCCAGAGCATCTTGGATTATGTTTTAGAAGCCACTAAACCAATTTCACCTGCCAATCAGGGTATCAAAGGTAAAAACCTTAATCCAAACTATTGTTGATACTGCTATGAGATGTTTTAAAATTGAAATGGCTATACAGAAGTTGTTCAAAAGCAAAGTATTTAGGTGTTTTTTTTAATATTTAGTTAGCTAAGTGTYTAGTTTTTGAGGTCTAATCAAACAGGCCTAAAGCAATCATATAGCTAATACCTTTGATCTAACTTTRTTTCCCTTTAACTTCTACTCTATGAAATGTCTACTAAAAGATTTTTACTAAGTTAAACTTTTGTTGTCTGTACTACCTTGTCACCTCATATTGAGATTTATAATTAAACTTTCAATAAATGAGGTGAAAGTTGCTTTTTTAACCTGAATTCTAGCTAAACCCTAATTAGTCAATAGATTACTTCTGACTGCATTGCTTGGTAGACAGTATCTCCAGTATTCTTGGCCTAACTGTAGCAGGTATAGGTGTAACTTGATTTGTGTGTGCTCTTCATGTTATTGTGACATAGCTAATCTGGCAAACAGCCTCATACTGGCGCTGATAAAATTGTTTTTGCTTAAGTGAAATTGCTTATTTCACTTCCAGCTTGGTATAACCTAGACTGAGTAAAGCACTAAAGGTAAAAAGTTGCAGGTGGTGATAACTGGTACTTACCAAAGCTAATGGAGCAGGAAATGTGAAATAACATAATAGCATTAATACATGTTAAGTGCTGCATAGCAAAAAATAAAAACAGTCTGGCTCATTGAGTGTGAGAGTTTCAAATTGACTCATTGCTATGCACTGTTTTGTGTGGTCTGTGCTAAAAAATGTGGTTGAGGTCAGAAAAGCAACCAGAATGCTAAATTTTGTAAATGTAAAAGAGAGGGTATCATGGAATACATAGTCATGTACCTGTGTTTGAATAAAGAATTTGCTCTACCATGGAATATAGCATGTACTTGTGACCTGCCAGTTCAGAAGGAACTTTTCTTAAATGCAGGTTGTTTTGGAGAGGAATCATTTGTAATGACAAATAACAAAGGGCATAGAAAAGTTGCTATGAAGAAGAGTATACAGTCTTGTTATTTTTCAGATTAAGGAGTACATATATGTTTATGTTCTTTCATAATTCACTGTCATTTTGATTTTTTTAGCTTGCTTAGATTTCCAGTAAGAAATAGTTTTGTGTCCTAGAAATCTGGAAGGATAAACCTGCTGATTTTTAAGTTGTCCAAGGTTTGTTTATTCATTTATTTTATGCTTTTTAATATTGTGCTAGGGAAGCGAGTMGTGTTGATGAAGAAGTTTCCTCTTGATGGAGAGAAGGCAGGCCAGGAAGCATCTCTTTACATTGTTCCAACTGTTGTCAAAGGTAATACTAAACATAATTTCTGGAGTAATATGAATTGTAGCAGTTCAGTTGACGGTTTCTTATGAATTTTCATGAATATATGATATGGCAAAAGTTAGATTTGGGGTGGAAATCCTTCTCTCACTACCTTAAAAGCCCTAAAAAGTTATTTATGGGAAAACTTACCTAATGTATTTCATTTGTTTCTCTAGCTGTAGCACACTTTTCTTTTAGGCCTTAGTTGTTCATTTGTTGATTATATTTCAAAATACATGCATTTCTTTTAAAAGCATTATTAAATGCCAATACAAATAAGGCATCCAGTCAATTCTGTTGAGCGTTGTTTATTCAAAGAATGCTTTGCTAGGTCAATGAATTTTTGTTTGAGTAAGCAAGGATGAATAAAGTCTTGAAAAGGCAAAGTAACTTSCTTGTCATTATTGTATTACAAAAATTCTGAAACAAGTGTCTGTGTGCTGTGTCCATAGCTCTGAAGGTACCAACAGCAGTAAATACCACTTCTGTCTATAATGTCCATTCAAAATAAAATACAACAAACAAAAACCCACATTGTTTTGTTTTTCACCAGCATACATTTATAATTGTTTCCCATATAAATCTAAATACACTTATGGAATAATAACTGAACACTTTAAGGTTTGTAAGGGTACTCTGTTGAGTTATAGTGAGTATTTAGGTTAGGACTTCATGTACTTTGGGAAAAAAATAACTTAGCATTAAAAAAATTAGCTGAGAATGTGTAACTTTGGGAGATCCAGAAGGGAAAGTAAGCCTCTTTCTGTCAATGTGTCTTCAGAGTCTCTTTCCTTTTCAGATAATACGAAATACACGTACAGCCCTGGATGCCCTGTGTTCTACTGTTTACAAGACATCATGAGGGTGTGCAGTGAATCCAGCACCCATTTTGCTACGCTTACTGCAAGGATGCTGATTGCCTTGGATAAGTAAGAACAACCATTAGTAAAAATACTCATGCTAAAATAGAAGATAAACAAGGACATGTGTCTATGTAACAAGTAGTTTTACACCAGCCTTCTGATTAAGAAGGAAATCATAGTCAAATGTTATTATTGCCTTATTTGCAGGAATAACTGCTAAATTTATTTTGCTGTTAAATAAAAGCATAGTCACCCAAAAATAAACATGAATATTTTTCCTTGAACCTGTTTTATATGTGCAGGAAAAAACACAGCAAATAGACAGTGATGCTGAATTCTACCTCTAACTTGCATGTGATTGCCCACCTGGGGAAGATTYGGCAGCTGGGAAACTATAAGAAGAGCTCCTTCCTTTTTCAGCTCATTAGGGAGAGGTGTGGGAAGAGAAAGATTTAAGTCTGCACTGCTGTAGTCTCCTTTAAGTTTCTAAATTTGTACCTTGAGAGCAGTGCTACCATAAACTGAAAGTGAATGTGTTAATGTAACCTGCTGGTGTAAGTGTTTTGGTATTAACCAGTGTGGCTATTACCTCAACTTGCTATTTCCTTTTCTTTGAGAATTTGCATCTGCAGGAAATGTATCTGAGCAGATGATATATGGCTAAATGGTATAAAATGCCATTTGCATAACTGTATTCTGTTTGCAGAATTTCATGTTTGGGGATTAATTTGGTGCTCTAACAACAGCTGCACACATGATAATTAAAACTTAAGAGTTATTTAGATGAGTTACTTCAGAGCCGAGTAATTTTGCAGACATAAGGTCTTATTTTTTTTTTGTCATACATACAACCCTTAATCAAATGAAATAGTGGGCAGGCATGACAAAAGTAGTTTTTTTTTTTTTTTTTTTGCTTGAAAATGAATTACTTCTCCATTCTCTTCTGCAGGTGGTTGGATGAACGTCATACCCAGTCTCATTCCATCCCAGCTTTGTTCAGACCATCTCCTCTTGAGAGAATTAAAACAAATGTAATAAACCCTGCCTATGCTATAGAACCTGGTCAGACAGAGAGCTCTTTACACATGGGTTATACTGCCCTAGAAATAAAGAGTAGAATGTTGGCATTGGAGAAAGCAGATGTGTGTATCTACAATCCTTTGTTTGGCTCTGACCTTCAGTATACCAATAGGGTAAGAACTTTATTTTCTTTTAATGTTTGTGCAACTTGCATGTATTTTTATTTTACATTTTATTCCTGTATTTGATGTGTGTTTTATGTTTAATATAATCAGGTGTATTTATTGCGTGCTTATTGCCAAATTAGATTTTCAAATTCAAGCATTTGAGCACCAGTTACTCTAGCTGTAGAAAGCTGTTATCATAACTTTGGTTCCAGGAGAATATGTGGCTTGGGTGGGGGATTGTTTAGTCAAGTCTCACTGAGATTTTTCTTTTCAGTTTTAAACTGTGTCTTTGCAGGTTGACAAGGTGGTAATAAATCCCTACTTCGGCCTTGGAGCCCCAGACTATTCGAAGATTCAGATTCCAAAAAGAGAAAAGTGGCAACGCAGCATGAGCAGTGTCACCGAGGACAAGTACTGTGTTACATTTCTTTCTCATTAGCAAATAAGTTTGTTATATTAGAGTAATACTTGGTAGACTGGGTTTGAAATTCCTGTTCCTTTGGTACTAAAGTACCAGATTTAAATTACAAAATACAATCAAGGAAGCATTTCTTGGCATAATGAWTACAGGTGTGCCTTCAGTGCAACTGAAATACTGGCTGTATGAATCTCGATGCATCTTAGTGGCTTGAGCTTCACCTTTGTTCTTTATATAGCTCTGTGGTTAGTCTTTAGTCATCAAGTAGACTGCAATCATTTTAAAAAAATTCTTATTGAAATATTTCTGACCTGTGTTTTCCTCTTGCTTCCTGTTTTCAATGACAGAGAGCACCAGTGGGTAGATGATTTCCCTCTTCATCGCAGTGCTTGTGAAGGCGATTCTGACTTACTGGGCCAGCTCCTGGATAAGAAGTTTTCTGTTAATCAGCTGGATAGTGACCATTGGGCGCCCATTCATTATGCGTGCTGGTGAGCACCTCAGTGTATTTCTGCTAAATGCCTTCTGCTGTCATGAGTTTTTAGCACTCAGCATAAGTGWAAGTTATCATACAGACTCAGAAATGAGAGATTGAGCAACTGTAGACTTCTATGCTGTGACCGTAGTATATGTTAGTGTTAACTGTTCAAAGAGATGCACTGCTTCAYGTTTGGAGATCATTTTAGATCAATGAGTTCTATCTGAAGGGTTTCTGAGGAGACCAAATGTGGTGACCTGATTATTAAATACCTCCTGTCTCTTCTCTACCTTCTGAAATGTCTGTTCTGGAACTCTTGGGTATAGTCTAGGCTGGGAACTCTTGCTGGTTGGTTAAAGTCTGTGAGCAGCCTGATGACAACATGGCAATAACTGAGCTGAGTTGAGCAAGTGTTTGTGATAGTCATATTTTGAGCAGGAAGACCGACTGACTGACTGACTGACCTCCAGAGGTTTCTTTTCACCCAACACTTATGATTCTGAAATTCTATGAACTCTATGTAATTCTAAGTAATTCTGTGAATTACCGAATTCATGCAGAATTTGGAGCATTGCTCAGCTGCCATAAAAACACTTTTGTTTTATCTTTAAGCAAGGCAGTCATATATTTGTAATAAKACCTGAAGAATAATACCATGAATACACGAAGAACCTGAAAATCAAATGTGATTATAAAAAGATGAAACTTGGTATGTGCGTGTGTGTGTGTGTTTCAGAAAGTGCATAAATGGCATACGCAAGATTTGAGTTATGTTATATATATATWTTTTTTAGGTAGTTACACATGTTATCGTAATCAAGAYGTAAAYGCAGAAAAAAGAATCAACTATTGAAACATAACATACACTCCAATTACAGCAATATATGTTTTCATATTTGGGAATATCTTTGAGAGTATCAGAAAAACAGTTTATTTTACATTTGCTATCCATTCTGCCCTTCATCCATTTGCAGGTATGGAAAAGTTGAAGCCACTCGAATGCTACTGGAAAAAGGGAAGTGCAATCCAAACCTCCTGAATGGGCAGCTTAGCTCTCCCCTTCATTTTGCAGCTGGAGGCGGCCATGCCGAAATAGTGCAAATTCTCCTGAATCACCCAGAAATCGACAGAGTAAGTTCTGTTTGTACCAGTGCATAAGAATTTTAGCAACAGATGCTCATGGGGCAGGGGCAATGCTGTGTCCCCAGATCACAGTGCGAAAATATAGTGATCCTGTTGCCAAAAACCTGACTAAATGCTTTTCAGTAACTCCATTTTTTCCCCCATTGCATTATCAATTAAATGACTGAACCCTAAARTTTATTATTTTTAATTATTTCATTTACTTATCTCCAGTGAAGACAATGTATTATTGGTGTTTCTGTTTGTTTGTAGCACATTACTGATCAACAAGGAAGATCTCCCCTGAATGTCTGTGAAGAAAACAAGCAAAATGAATGGGAAGAAACTGCAAAACTGCTGAAGGAAGCCATGAATAAACCTGTATGATTTTATTATCTGAGTAGTTTAAAGTTTATATACACAGTTTATTTTACACACAAACACTGAGAGAAAGTTAGGCCCACTTAYAGTTGTTACCAGAATATCTGGTAACATATACCAGTTATGCGTGCATTTGTTTCAGTATTTTATATGTAAKGTCATTTATTCGGTATTGACAAAGCTAACATTTCTCTCTCTTTAAATGTTTCTGTCTATATAAGGCTTCAAACGTGATGTTTTCATTTATTTGTGGGAGCATCACATCAGCTGCTGATTGTCTGCTACTCATACTTCAGCCGTTAGTTTTCTTTATGTCTTATGTGTGACATAKAGGAGCATTCAGCTGACTAAACGTAGGCTTCTACAAAATTAGACTTCTATCAGTTAGTCAGCCTAAGACTTCCTTTGCAGTCAGGGGAGATTTAGCAGGCTAGTTAACAAAATTTATGATGCCAGTCCTTTCATCCCAAAGTATATTTAAGATAGATAAATAAAATTATTTGTTGCTTTCATTTGAATTCAGATGGAACTTGTAGCTTTGTAGTTAATGACAGTAGTTCATCTATCAATTCTTTTTTTCTGATGTGTTTTAAAGAATCTGCAATTCACTCTATATGAATGAATCTTCCAAAAAAAGGGAGAGCTGACCACCCTTATACTTTTTCTTGTGATACAGTTGATCAAATGGCAATTGTCTAATTACTCTGAAAGACTAATACATACCTCTTAAGTAGATTTCCCAGCACAGACGGTGACATTATGTTGGAATCTATTGCCATTGATTTAATACAACAAAATTAAAAATTTAATGAAAGAAGCTACTGCAAGGGGAATCACAGTCATTACCACAGCTAAATTGACTGATTTTAGCCTCGTTTTCATTCAGTTATTTTCCAAGGCAATCATCTTTTTTTTCCCAGAAGTTTCTGTAATTGATGTCTTGGGTTTTAAGGCCTAACCAGATTTGAGGAGGAGAAATAAGCTCTTTGCAACTTTTTAAGTAATCATTCTTTGAAAGTTAGGGAATCTTGAAGAGGAAAATAATTTGTGATTAGTAGATAGAAGTGGTAAAAGTGCTTAGAGAGATTGTATTCCTGCATTGGGATCCCTGTAAAGGCTGGTATTTTCCTCTGAAAAATTAGAGTCAATTACTGATCGGTTAATAGAAATGTTAAGAAATAATCTAATATTAGATTATTATATTTAAGTATAGGAAAATTAGATTTAAGGACAGACTAAATGAAGGGAATAACACCATATCCTGCCAGTAACGGTGAGAAGGAGGTTTCAGGATAAGCAGAGCCCAAATTCCTCAGAAATTTTAGATACCTGCTTGCTTTGAGTTCAACAGAAGTGAAGCCCCCAAAATACCATTAGGATTTTTCTTTTTTTTATGTGTTAGAAAGTACGGTATAAGAACTTGCACAGGACATGAAACAAGCCATTTTGATAAACAGTAAATTTGCAGGAATTGTGCATTGTTATTTTTCTCAAGAGGTCTGGCAGTTGCTGAATTATGGTGAATTTGCTTGCCTCTCCCTACGCGCTAATAGAAAGAGATTTTAACAAGYGGTTTGTTTAATATGTTTTGGGCAGTATGAAAAGGCACGAATTTATCGTATGGATGGGTCGTACCGCTCTGTTGAGCTGAAACATGGAAACAATACAACGGTGCAGCAGATAATGGAGGGGATGCGTTTGTCCCAGGAAACTCAGCAGTACTTCACCATCTGGATCTGTTCTGAGAACCTCAGTAAGTAACAAGGAAGACTCTGACACCCGGTCACCTATTCTTTTTTTTGGGGGGGGGAGGAGGAGCATATGGGTCATATGTTCCGTAGCTGTTCTATATTACCCTCTCTGTATCAGTTTTCAGAAGCCATCTTTTAGGATGCTGTTCTCCTGAAATCTGCAGAGCTCCTGCAGTTGTTTTGTGTTAGAAAGTAACCAGAAGACAGTGTATAGAGGAACATGGAGAGGCAGCTGAACTTTAGCTGGAGTTCTTGAGTTCTTGGCATTTTTAGCAACAATCAAATAATCTTAGTCTATATTTGGATGCCTAGATTAGTTTTGAGTAATTGTTTCCAAAATACCAGCTTGTGGCTACAGTGTGTAATCATTCACACTTGTTTTGGGGAAATAGTCTTACTCAGGGTGCATAGTAAACTTGAGAGAGCTTGCCACTGGAATTAGAGCTCATTTTTATGATTGCATATTTGTAAGTGGCTTTTTTTTTCTTCTTCTTAAAAATCTTGGTAATATTTTAACCAATTTGTTGCCTGCACATCAGTAAAACATCCAGGAGCCATAGGCTTTAATTCTCCTTTTTTCAGCAGGTCTAAATTCTATTTCTTCTCAAAGAGAAGAGTTAACCAATGTCTAGACTGTTAATATATTTTGTACCTGTCAGAGACTCTCTCATCTCTGTTTATTTAGTTTCCTGTGCCTTTTACATAAGGACCAAGACACAAATTTCTCTTCCCCCTGCTCAAGCCAACTACCCAGTTGATCCCWCAGCCCACGGATCTTAAACAGAGATGGGTGGAGAGAGGGTGAATGGGCACCTGCCCTGCAATCCACAGTCACAATTCAACTGCTGTCCTTGAAGCAGTTGCCTCCAAGATTCAGAACAGGGTGCAGTTGGATGAGGGAATTTTGCACTTAGACCACAGTATGAGGGACATCAATGTGGTTAATTTGGGTTGTAAAGGTATATACTCTACTAACAGCCTWTGTTAGAATATGTTGCATACATTTCATGATTGTACATATAATGCAGATTACAGTAACTCTAGTTATTAAGCTTTGCAGTAATCTGCTAAGCCACCCTGTCATGGAGAACCCAAATTGGTTACAACTAGTTGCTCCCAGTTGAGTCTGCAGTTTCTGTGGACAAYTTCACCACGGGCTTCACCCATGTGGGTGGTGAGTGGCATCGTAGTGAGATGTTTGTGATGGGTGTGCAGCAAAGGTCCATGGTGAGGTTCAGGAGGCCACAGCCTCCTCATTCAACATCACGTTGAGAGCAGCATGTGTTGGTGAAGTCATATCACTGGTAGCTTGTAGTTGATTGCTTATCAGATTATCTAATGACACAGCAGATGGTATTAACATCGCTAGTTGTTCAGCTAGTGCTACAGTAACTTTTCTGTTTCTGGATGGGGCTACTCCCACTCCAAAAGGAGATTCCAGCCAAAACTCAGTCACACTGGGAAGCTCCTGATGTTCTCCCCCTAATTGGTGTCCCTGCCACCTCGGTGCTCAGCCCAGCCAGTGCTTGAGGTGGAACCCGCTCCTTAATACAGAGCAGAGGGAGGCTGTGTGCACTCTGTACCCAGGTTAGGAATAGGATGTACCCAGGATATAGGTGGAAGCATGAAGACCCATCAGAACATGCCCRAACAAGGCTGGGTGGAGCTGCTGCTTTGGCAGGGTCACAGTTACCAGAAGGGTAACTGTGGATCTCCGTGTCAGACACAGCTTAGCACAGCTGGCACAGAGCAAGGGGTGGTGCATAAAAGCATCCTTTTGGAGGGCTTCTCCTGCTCATTCCAAAAGTGTCAAGGTAGCAAGACTTCTGATTTACTATGTAAATTAATTACATGCTCTCATTATGTAAGGAATTCCTTGTACTTTGTTGCATGCAGATCATAGTTTTCTTGTACATCAGAAGGATGATATTCCCCTATATTTGAATGTAGGGTGGATAAGTGAGGTGAATAAATTATAAAGTATCCCAAGGTAAAAGCCAGAGTAATGATAATGAGATAAATACAGTAATGAGGAGGTAGAAAACAAAACAAATTGTTGACAGAAGGACATGAAAAATCGCATGATTGTAGCCTGTTAGGAACCGTGATGCTTTACAGATAAAGAAAGGTTTGTCTGTTCTGAAAAGTGTGTGGTTTGTACATCCAGGTGGTGGCAGATGCCTTTATAAGATAAGCTGTATCTGTATTCTTCAGTCAAAATCTCATTTCTAGACTTCTTATTTCTCCCAAAATAATTGGCAGAACACTAACATTTTTATTATTGTAATTTTATTTAATATGGTATTTGGTTTGCTGGCTTTCTAGGGGCCTTTAACTTCTAGTTTTGAGATCTGTTTAGCATTCCCATTAATTTTTAAAATATAATTTCACCCTTGAGAAGTTGAAAATTATAAAGATTCATTATTGGTGTATTTATTGAATTGGCTGTGAGAGATTTGTCAATAAATCTATATTTAAAAAACATTTCTAGATAGCAGTTTAGAAAACATGGGGAGAAGTGTTGCTTTAATGAATCCTATGCTTTAAATGTTCTGATTTGGTGCTATGTTCAGTCACCCATGTGTATCCCAGTTTATTCTGTGTGCTTATTTATAAAAAAAAAAAAAAAATGTTATTTTCCAGGCCTCCAGCTAAAGCCATATCACAAACCTTTGCAGCATATTCGAGACTGGCCTGAAATATTCACTGAACTGACAAACTTGGATCCTCAGAGGGAAACTTCACAGCTTTTCTTGAGGAGAGATGTGAGACTTCCCTTGGAAATCGAGAAAAAGGTCTGCACCTTGAACCCAGGATTAGAGGCAGAGCACTTGCACCATCAACGCTCAGGGGGCTTAATGGCCTTTTTCTATAGTACTTTGGGTCTGCAGGTTCTTTTCCTGTCCCTACCATTCACATGTAAACACATACTCTCATCTCCCCCCTTCTCCACTGTTTGGTTCATCAGTGGACCCTGTGTCCCAATCTCTACCTGTCTCAAACCTGCCCTATTTCCCTTCCTTTTCTCGTATCACGTTTTTTCAGGTATTTAACTGATCAGTTTCAATGGAACTATTCAAACATATTCACAGTGGTTGTCTGAGGAAAAAAGTGCAGTGTATAGCTCTAAGTAATTTTTTTTTTAATTTCTGATGCATTTTGTTGACTGATGTGTATAGGGTCGTTGTGATGCACTGAGTTTGATATATTTCTCAGGAACTTCTGACTGGGCATGGTATGCTAGTAACTGGCAATTCAAAAGCGTGTTACATCAGTAAAGTCTAATTAAGTCATTGAAAATACTTCTGTATTATATTTTTTCTATTACCAGGCATTGCTAAAATACGCRTTTCGGGGAGACCACCCTTTTCTCTCCCATCTTTGAATCAATGAGAAATTGTATTCAGTTACACAGCTGCTSAAGTATTAAGTTCATTTTTGGTTTACAAAGAAATCATGCTATTTATTTTTTTCAATAGATTGAGGATCCATTGGCCATTCTTATCCTGTTTGATGAAGCCAGATATAATTTACTGAAAGGTTTCTATACCTCACCTGATGCCAAGCTGATCACACTGGCAAGTCTATTGTTGCAGATAGTCTATGGAAATTATGAGAGCAAGAAACATAAACAGGGCTTTCTAAAGTAAGTATGTCTTTAAACTTATTCTTTTTATTTATGAAGGAAATTTTAGACAGCACCTAATCTCAAATAAACTTTAGATGTGCTGCAGCAACTACTTTTTTCCATCAGTCCTCTGGTTCAAAGTATGCCATGAACCCCCCTAGTATTCATAGAATGTAGACATGGAGGGTAAGTGTGCACTAATCTACACCAAGATGGAGAAACAGCAAAATGAGTAATGGGCTCTTAACAGGACTGCCAGAAAACCCATTTTGGGTGATAGAGAAGAAAGCTCTTACTGTGTCCAGCTAGACCAGCTTCTGCACTTGGATTTCCTCCCTCGCTGAGAGCGCTGTTGAGGGTGGTTGCATCTTTTCTGACACTCCCATGTGGATTGTTGTCCTAACCTGCTCACAAACAGTGCCCTGACAGATGGTGTTTTTCTCTGCCCTTCTCTCCACTTGCCTGAGCAACAGCAGCTGAGCTGTTCTCGGATGTGTTTTTTCTTCMATGCATGTATTTTCAGCAGCATCTCCATGGATTTCATTCCATTTCTGTGTGTACCTTCACTCCTGCCGCCACCGTCTCCATCCCAACTCATTCATGTAGCAGCAGCTCTGCTATTTTGGGGTGTTGCTGGGTGGGCTGCTCATTTACAGCATCTGCTGGGATGTGTTGGCTTGCCTTTTTTATTTTTTAGATCCTGTTCTCCACTATCACTTAATCATGGTGCATTTATGCAGCAGTTACTCTGCTTTAAGTGTGGGCAGCCCCTGAAAGGGTCACCTGTACTGATCTCACCTGCACCTTCCTTTCTTTTCCTTCCCATGGGTACAGAGACTTTGGGAGCACAGAACTGCCAGATGAATGAGTTCCCTGACTGGAGAACGTTGTCTGGGCTGTTCAGTAGGTTCAGCCCATGACCCATCTTGTCTTGTTGGTAAATCTGCCCTACCAGCAGCAGTGGACAGTTAAACCCAGCTGGGTTTCGGATGAGCTCTGATGTGTTCCTTGGCTTTCCTTTCCCCTGGGTAGGTAGGGCTAGTGGGGAAAMAGTAGTTTGGGCCAGAAGGGAGAACCCTGTGGGCGCTGGGGTAAGCAACCAATGCATCTCCAACTGGAGAGGTTTGGAAATACACACCTGTTTTGTCCTCCTTCAGACAGATGTTTGAGAAAGTGGAGATTTGCAGAGGTTAGGTACCCTGTAGTTGGGATTTTTGAAGCTACTGCAGACATCTGCAGTTTTAGATGCTGACAATTTTTAGACATACCCGGGGTTTTGTTTGTATAGTAATAGCCTTGGAGACGTGGATACGTTGTTCTTACGCAAAGCAGACAGCATGTGCTGTTACTGGCAAATATAGATAAAAAAGGACTAAGTATTTCTGAAAGCTAGTGATGCATGTGAGACTGTATTACTTGTGCATAAAAATATAGTAAGGACTTCCTTCAGTGTTTGAAAAAAAAGGGTGCTCTGTATAAAYTGCCTAATTTCCATATCATGTGACCTAACTTTCATGTTAAATTAAGTCTTTGGTAGTGCAGAGTCTGTATTTTGTTTAGTTTAACGGTGCAGTGAAGAGAGTGATACCCCTGAGCCATGTCCTTGGCTTCTGAGTACTGGCTGTTCGGGTCTAAATGACCCCCTGTATCTAATATTGGCTCCCAAACTAGAAGTCACTGAATTGATCTGCAGTCAGGTGATGACCATGCAGCCAGCATCTCCTTTCTCTCTCGTGTCTGCAAGTGGTAACACAAAACTGCCTATGGAGGATCTGCATTAGCTGAGAGTTGCACCGTGTCCTAGGAAGTCTGGTGCCCCCAGCCCAGAAGCTTTCTGGAGGAGAAGCCAAGAGAGAGCAGGGGATCAGCTGGGGTTGTGTGGCCTGAAGGTGCAAGCTGGCAGACTTTGTCCTTAATGTTTACTGAAATAAAACTATTGTGTGCTTTTTTTTTTTTAGTGAAGAAAATCTTAAATCTATAGTACCCATCACTAAGCTCAAAAGTAAAGCTCCTCACTGGACAAACAGGATACTTCATGAATACAAGGTGAGATAAATCATCAAATTCTAGAAATTGAAACTCAGACCTTTTTGACTGTTTTATTATTGATTAATGTATGAAAACACTGGCATATGAAACTAGAAACGTGGATTGAATGTTCAAGTTGGGTTGTTGGAATAGTAATTTTCTTGTATAGTTGCAGTTGATCTGTTTGCTAGAAGCAAATACAGTTGTGTCCTCTGTTCATATAACTGCACTGGGGACACTGCTAAAGTACATACATGTAAAATTTAAGTCAGAGTACATGTAAAATTTAAGTCAGAGTATATTTTTATGAAATTTAATTGTGATAGATCCATAAAGTCCTTTTTCCCAGTCCAGCTTGTACATTAGGGACTACTTAGCGCACATATGGAGTCACTTGACTACGGTCTTCAAGAAAGCATAGAAGACTTCTTAGCTTTCCCTCTATGAAGGGAAAGGAGCCTTCCCTCTAGGAGCCTATGCCAGAATGGACTTGGCTCCTTAGTCTTCTAGAGGCCCTTATGGGAGGGAGGAGTTGGAGGGCAGGGAAGGGAAAAGGAGTTAGGCTTCATTCCAATGAGATTCTTGTGTCTTGCATTTTCTTAAATAGCTTTGTAGAACGTAGACAAYCATCCTCCATATCCGTAATCATGGCCTTGACTGCTCATGACTTGTGGTCCCTCTTGTGCCTGCTTGTGTAATTTGTGACCAGGTTCATTTATACATATGTATATATTTATTAAAAGTGCTGTATCTGGGCAGGTACTTGATCATTTTGCARGTCTCACTGTGTTAGACCTGCAAATGGAAGAATTAAAGGAAGAATTGTTAGATTGATGGATTCTGATGGATTTAGTGTCAGATGGACGTCTACCAGCTTATACCTGATGAGCGTGAGATCTTGCTGATAGTGGTGAAAATGTGGAGATTTGCAGAGGTTAGGTGTCTGTGTTTGGGATTTTTGAAGCTGCTACAGACATCTGTGTTCAGATCTTTGGCATCTGAGCCTTTCTGTGGATCTAGGTTTTACTTTAGAGGTGACTTTTTGGGGGTGGGGGCAGTTGTTGGGAAAGCACTTTGGGAGTATTAGCTTCCATTAAACATTGTATCTTTTCAAATAAAAACAGTTATTTGGGAGTATTTGTTTATTGCCATTGTACCTTTATTTCTAGAATCTCAGCACCAGTGAGGGTGTAAGTAAGGAGATGCATCATCTTCAGCGCATGTTTCTGCAGAATTGCTGGGAGATTCCTACTTACGGAGCGGCCTTTTTCACAGGACAGATATTCACCAAAGCAAGTTCAAGTAGCCATAAAGTCATCAAAGTTTATGTAGGAGTAAATGTAAAAGGACTGCACCTTCTCAACATGGAGACTAAGGTCAGCTTCAGCTTAAGTGAACTGCCARTAACAGCTGTTAAGCTTCATTCTGTTCTCTTTAATTCTCTGTGCTAATTGTCATTTATCACCAGTGTTTAATTAAACTTGACTGTAAAGATTTCCAAGATCTTAAGTTCTTTGTAAAGTATTAATAATAGAAAGCCTTGTCCTTTTACACTCAACTACTTGATAAGCTACAACTGCTCTAAGTCAAAATCCTATTTAGGTGAACAGAGGAAAGTGAACAGTTTAAGCATTGAGAGTATTTTCTGAGTGATAGTTTTCTGTGTTTCATTGTAGGCCTTACTCCTCAGTCTAAAGTATGGTTGCTTTATGTGGCAGTTGGGAGATGGAGATACATGTTTTCAAATCCACAGTCTGGAAAACAAAATGAGCTTTATTGTGCATACCAAGCAGGTAAGCATCGATAACGTTTAGTTTACCAAATTTTCTGAGACTCTTCAAAGAGACTTTCTTCTTGTGATTGACCATCGTTGTACAGTTTAAAATAAACCCAAGCAAGTCCCCAGAAATATGTTTTTAAAATGAGATTTWAAAAAAAAAAAATCAGAACGTTTGCTTGTTTTCCTAGCTTGTGGAGCCTCTAGGGTCCATAATAGATGAAACACACCTGTATTAGAAAGGAAGAGTAAAAAAAAAAAAAAAAATTGTTGCCTAATTATACATTAACTATCATCAGACTGTAAGGATACTTCCAAGTATGACAAGAAGCACAAAGTTACAGAGTTGGTAACTTTGCAATTAAAACTAGAGGAGTTTGGGAAATTGAGGATCTATTTTATAAAACAACGTTCTTACCAATTGCTATCTTTGCTAACAATTGCTAGCAATTGCTAACTTTGATAGTGCTTTGTGAATGCTAGACAGAAATGCTTGTTCTACCTGCAGCCTGTGTGGTGGTTACATGTTAAGTCATGACAAAGTGTTTTGTCATTACAATTGATTACAATTACCTGTCTTGGATAGAAGTTTTTCATCTGATTATTCCATATTAAAACGGTTATAGGAGGGGAAGTAGTTGAATATTTGTAAAATTACTTTATACGATAAAAACTAGGCACCTAGTTTTCATTTTCATCATTTCTAAAATGATGTATCTTTTGAAGTTCTTCATTTATTTGCTTTCGAGTTGAATTTAGCATATTCTTAAGTTGATTTTATTTGCCTTATTTTGTGAAATGCTGATAGAATTTAATTGTTTACCTTTACACAGGCAGGTCTCGTTATAAAACTTCTGATGAAGTTAAATGGGCAATTAATGCCAAGTGAAAGAAATGAATGATGGAGATGGACAATAGTTAAGGAACGGCATCTTCTGGTTGAGGAAAAGTGACTTTATTCTTGCCATAGCAAACATTCCTGTATGTGAACTCTGCAGAATGGAAAATTACATGTGTACAGTTTTTTAACTTTGTACAGAAGCTGCATGCTTTATTTTTTTAGAAAACAGTAATTATTTTTATAAATGTATTTGGTTTCATATATTACCTATTGTAAAGCTTGAGATGAACTGATAAAGCTGAAGAAATGAAATGATTTACCGATCTGGGTGAGAAAAAACAAGACTTTGATCCCAGAAGATTATGGGATTGCCAGTGCCAACAGGCAAGTCTCACTTAACCTGTTATTAGCTTTACTTGTCATTCTGTGGAATATCAAGGAGGCTGTATGTGTTACAGTATTTTGTAGACAAACTCTTTTTAAGATGTTGCTGCTAAGTATGCTTAGAAGACTGTCTACTGCTTTGAGCAATTATGTTTGWTACTCTGTTTTTTATTTGGTTTCTGATAAACCTGATAGCTGACTTCATTTTTACTCTTTATCATACTGAAAACTTTCTATTTATTCTAAATGTTTCATGAGGATGTCAGAAGGGAAATACTTTAAATCATTTAGAAACCTTATTAAATATTCAGCATGTTTGTTTTGAGATAACAAGATTTCTGTGTTTGCTGTGCAATATATGTGAAGAAGGGAGAGGATGTAGACTTAAACAAATCTTACTCAGAGGACTTCAGAGAGCTTAAGAAATCATATCCTGGATAGTGAATAAAGTTCATATTCAAAGTTCAAACTAATTTTCTCTTCTTCACTTAAGTTTCTCAAGAGCCCAGGYAGTACAGGAGACAGGAATGGAGATTTATAATGTAAGGAGATCAGACACAGTCTGTAAAGATTCTGCCTGGCCTTTGCAGAGTCAGGGTTGAGTCTTAGCAAGTTATTCCAAGTGTCAAGAAATTGTATTTCTTAACAGTTCAGAATCGTTTTTGTTTTAAGACACCTTTAAAGTGTTTGAAAAGATTTACATGCTGATTCTGATTTTTTTTCAGACAACTTCTAATCCGTTTCTAAATGCATACCTTTACCTAGTATGCCTCATTAAAGGGAAAACTATGCAATAAGAAGATTAAAAATGYTGTAATGTTCCCCTCACCCCCATCAAAGGGGCTATCTCTGTAGGGTTTGAAGCATGTGCTTTGTCAAGCATATGTAAAAATACTATCCATAACACAAATCTTTAAAACCTCTGTATTTCAGAGTTTTAACTCTGTTTGAGTCTTCCTTCCATGTAAACTGAGTGCCAAAAGTGTGCAACGTTTTGTAGAAAAGCAAAAAAAAAAATTAGCAGTTATCTGTAGAGTTTTTTCTTTTAAAAAAAAAAGTTAGACAACAGTTAGGAACTATGCTGTTTTGTAGCATCTTAGTATTTGCATTTAAACTTTTCAAATAGTAAATACAATGTAAGACATTACAGTAGTAAGCATTTAAAAAAAAAACAAAACAGGTGACTGCATTGGTGATCTTAGCAAGATGTACTTTGCTATTTCAGCTTCACTGCCATGTAATTAAAAGTATATCTTCATGGATTATTATCTTTTATTTGTCCTGCTGGCAGCAGTTACATCCTTCACGGTGCATCCTTGCTGTCACTCGGCACTGGTATCGGATACATACCTCTCTGCATAGCACTTTGTTAGAAAACTGTAGGGAAAATGTTGGAATGTAAGGTGTGTGTTTAACAACAGTATAAATATGCCCTATTGCTGTATAGTTCTTTCTTTTAGTATTTTATTTATTACTACCTAATAAATGGTTTGCAATGATAGTCACGTGTTTTTATTACTACAGACACTATGAAAATGTCATCAAATAACTTTATTACCAAAGAGGAGTATTTTGCAGCATGCTCATCTTTATGAGTCCTGTAGGAAGGAAGATGGTGTTTAGAAAAGAGAGTGGAGAACATCACAGAAGATGGCATAAGAAGACTTAATAATGAAGGTATCCTGAGCGCTTTGCTTTGCACCTTGGAAACCACACGGGAGCTGGTCGGGGGCACTAGAAACCACTCCTTGCACCACCGCGGGCTACCGCCATGACTTGAGGCATAGCAAAGATCTGTGGAAATAAAATTATAATAAAAAAGAAGCACGTTTATATCTAAACGAGGCGTGGATGGTAAAATGGCGGCGTGCGCGAGCGCCCCTAGCGGGGCCGCCTGCGCACTGCGCCTGCGCGGCGGGAGCGGCGGCTGCCGCGGCAACGGGCGGCCGCGCTGAGGGTCTGTCCGCGCCTGGGCCTAACGGAGCGGCCGCTTAGCGGGGCTCCGCCGGAGCGGAGCCGAGCTTCACCCGCGGGGTGTTACTAAGGTAGCGGGATAACTGCACGCGTGGATTTCAACGTTTATATTCACATACCTGAATCCCTGCACACTGACATTGAGGTAAGCAATTCTGCTTAAAGGCTGTTAAGATTTATTTTTTAATGATTTTTAAGGAGCTAAAAGTAAGCATGTTTGTAATTTAAGCATGTTAACAAAGTAATGGGATTGACTCAGCATTTCAAAGTTAGTTAGGTGTTTAAGCATCAGTTTAGGAAGTCTAAATGAAGGCTCCTGTTCTTAAATTTTTAAACTTATTTTTAATCAAAAGTTACTACTAAGTTAAATTTTAAGTGTTTTGGTAAAGGGTAATTGCAAATCTTTCTCAATATATGCATTTAATTGATCTGATGATTCTATGAAATCTTAGGAAATAGTTTATGATGTATATTTTGTGATCTGTGGACTATAGTTTGGAAAAACAAGGTATTATATTAAATAGCAAGTGTTTCTGTAAATCACACTCTCTTTTTGGTACACAGAAATATGGACGAGTTCACAAATGTGGAAGAAGAGTAGATTTTTATTGAAGTTTCTTACAAGCTCAGTCAACTGATACAGAGTGATATCTACTTCCAATTTAGGTTTCACACAGGTTGTGTTCTTAAAAAATAGTGCAGAGAATCATTTAGCGACACAGAAGCAGCTGAACACCAAAAACATCTCTGGAGACAGAAGAAGATGAATCTGAAGCGGTCTAAACACYAAAGGGCTAAATGAGAACTYTCAAGAGATTCCCAAAAATAATGCCAGGAAAAACTCATTAYATTCGTTAGGGAATCCTAAAGCAGTTGACATAACCACAAAACCTCTGAATGAAATTTCATGTCAAGTTCCTAAAGCAGATGACGAAGAGGAAAGCCATAAAATGACTGGAAATTTATCAAAAAATGACTTGCCGAAAGAAAGGTATGAACGTGAATTCTCAGCTGAGATGGATGCTGCCCCAGTGCCTCAAGGTGTCTCTGAGACAGATGAGAGGAAATATGAACCACTGACACCATCTGAAAAGAATACTGGAGAACTAAACCCTGTTCTTGCAGAGGATGTTGATGGAAATGCCAGAACAGATATATTACCATCGTCACCAAGTCTTGAAAATGCTGAAAATGGATCAACRTACAAACTGCCTGAAGAAAAAAACAAGAATTCCACACTTACGCTAAATAATACAGGATTAAGAGAGATTTCTCTGCTCACTTTCCRAAACCAAAACTTAAAATATTTTGACCTATGCAACAATGAAATAAAATCACTGCACTCAAATATRGGTAATCTAATTAATCTGGAAGTCCTATTAGTAGAAAAAAATCAATTGACATCGCTGCCACCAGAACTCTCTTTGCTTCATAAACTAAAAATATTAAATGTCAGTCACAACCAGTTGTCAAGTCTCCCTAAAGAACTATCAAAACTTGTAAATATTAAGGAACTCTTCCTCAATCACAACAACATTGCTGAGTTTCCTTTGGCACTGGAAAGCCTTGAAACTTTAGAACTTGCTGGGAACAAGCTACAAACTTTGCCAGATACCATAGCTGACATGAGAAATTTGAACGTACTCAACGTTGATTCCAATCAGATCTTAATATTCCCAAAGGTTGTCTGCTACCTTCCTAACCTAGTAAAACTCAGTATATGTGAGAATTTGATTCAGAGCTTGCCAAAGGACATTAAAGAGCTCCGGAAACTCCAAGAATTTTCAATCAGTAGCAATAAGCTTCTGTTTTTGCCTGTGCAGCTTTTTCAGTTGACAAAATTAAGAGAACTCAGAGCTGATGATAACAAACTAGAGTTTCTTTCAGATAAAGTTGAGAACTTGCAAGAGCTGCGATTTCTAAACCTTGCAAAAAATTTATTCAAAAATATTACGGAGAATCTTTGCAACTGTACCATGTTGAAACATCTCATTCTCCATGATAATCAGTTAACCCAGCTCCCCGCGAATATTTACAAACTTAAACACTTAAAGGAGTTCTCCGCAAGTAGAAACCAACTGGRCTCACTGGATGAACAAATATCCTCTTTTAAAGACCTCTCCATAATAGACCTTTCAGGAAATGCATTGACATGCATTCCTGTTGAATTTAAAAACTGTATGTGGGTAACCAAAGCTGAYCTCAGCAACAACAAGCTCTCCCGGTTTCCCCATGCATTGTGTGCACTGTTCAGTCTTAAGTACTTAAATCTTAGTGGAAACTTCATTTCAGAAATAATACCTGGAATTGCTTACATTAAAAGTTTGGAGTATCTACATTTAAACAAAAATAAACTGCCCTCTTTTTCTGCCTCCTTGTGCAGCCTTGCAAAACTGATTTACTTGGATTTAAGTGAGAATGAAATCAGTAGYGTGCCAGCAGTGGTGTCTGAGATGAAGGCCCTCCAGGTGCTTCTTTTACACTGCAATAAATTTGACTTATTTCCTGAAGAATTGTGCTCCTTAAAGAGTTTACAAATACTCAGCCTTGCAAATAATCAAATAAAGAGCATTCCTTTACAGATTAGTAATCTGGAAGTGATTAAAGAACTAAATGTATCCAACAACCAGTTTGCATCTTTCCCTTCTGAAATATGTCATCTTTCATCACTGGAGAAATTGTCCATGTGTCAGATGAGTGGCTTGAAGGTAAGAGAACATTTCCTTTGAGGTAAGGAACACATACRTCGTGCACGCTGTTATGCTTCAAAATCATTAGTAGTAGACTCTCTTCTAACAGATGTAAAAGCTCTTGCATTTGAATAYACCCACAGAAGAAACATAGTTTGTAAAGATGCAAATCTGTATGTGRAATTACCCATTTTGAATATAAGAACTGGACAAAAATATTAGGATTTTTAAAGACAYGCAAACTCACTAAGAAATACTAGATATGAACATCATTTTATATAATGTGACTTAGGTATAACCTGAGGCTATATTTGGATGATCAGATTGGTATGAAATACTATATAGTTTCTGTTGGGGAAAAAAATGATACTGTACTGTCATGGTCAGCTGAAAGAGAAAATACTGTTTCTAAAGCAAGTACTAGTACAATCTTTGGCTCACATGAGAAAAAAAAAAGAAAAAAAAACAGCCTAAAAGGCTTTTGAATCTTTTTTAGCCAGAATTTGCAAAATCAGCATTTCATAAATTACTTATATTACTCTATATAATTTTAAATGTGGATATGATCCCTTCTAAGAGCCTACTTTCTTCAGACCCAGCAGCAGCAAATACCTTGGGTCTGTGTCTCAGGGAGCTGTAGCTCTGGTTTCCATGACAATCTGATGAATGTGAAAACAGTTAGAGTTGCTCAAAGGAAAATAGAAAAGACCAGGAAGAGAACAGAACCAAGTAGAAGAAAAAATTCATTTTGTTGTGCCTGAAAATACCCATAAAATAAAATGTGAGTGTTCTTCTGAAAGGGGATTTTGTTTTGAGATTCATCAGTGATAAGGACCAAAAGAAAGTCTCCTGAGGTTCCACCTATAGGCACATTGGTCCACTGCTGTGTGTTTTTTTTATTGCAATTCTATTATTTTGTCTAAAAAAATCCTTGAAAAATTCTATATTCAGCGWGAACACTTTTATCATGAAATAATAAATGAATTTTCCCTAGAACAGAATGTCATAAACTTTAATTTTTGGATAAAAATAATGGAGGCTGTTTTGCCTGCAGGAAAGAATACCTTTTGAACTTTTTACAGAAAACAAATAAATGTATCGACACCCATGAATAATGCAGCAATTGTTTTATTTCTTTATTAGTTAACACAGCTTCCAGAGGAGATATCTAAACTGATTTGCCTCAGAGAGCTTGACATATCTCATAATGCATTAAAGGAAATTCCAGATGGCATAGGGGAGCTGGAATATTTGATCCATCTRATTGCAAATAACAATGATATCAGTCAGCTCCCCCAAACCATTACTTCCCTAAGAAACCTACAGCAACTTGACCTAAGTGGTAAGTATCAGGCATCGGATCCCTTAGTAAAATCTAAGCAKGAGCTAGGCCCCTCACCAGGATGAAGGTATCACAGGAGAATATGACTGTGAAAAGGGGACAGAGGAAAATGCAGCTTTCCAGTTTTGAATATAGGCCAATGCCAACCCCAACTTCTGCAGGCTTCTGTCTCACTTTCCCACTGTAGAAGCCTGTGAGGTCAGTGCCATAGGCTATGAACGCGAGCAGTGAACAGATTCCTGTTATCTTTATTGATCTTGCAGTCAAATCCTGAAACAGTAAGTTCCTTGAGGCAAAAMCTGTCTTCCCTTCTTTATGCAATGCTGAGCTCATTACCAAATTAAAAAAAGAACTCGCTTCACCAGGTATGTTGCAATCTTCTTTAGATTAATATGATGCAGACATAATTAAGCATTTCTATGTATTTCCCAGGAAATTGCTTGTTATCTTTGCCTGCTGATCTTCACAAGCTTCCGTTGCTGACTGACGTAAACTTTGATGGAAATGCTCTGTTTGAACCGCTGCGAGAGGTGTGTAAAGGGAAGCAGCTATATCCCATTCTGTGCTACCTGGAAAGTGCTCGTGAAAGAGATGGTATGTTAAGAACAAGTATAGTATTGGGCATATAATTAAGAACAAATATATTAATAAATATTTTGGTGCATTAAAGGTAGCTAGTGCAGGAGCTGTTGAAATTCCATTTTGTTAATTTTCATTGTACTGCTTCTGTTTCTTTTCCTTCCTGATTTTGGTTACTGTCAGCAGTGTTTACATTAGGGTTAATGCTCATGTACTTACTTGGTAGGCATCAGATAGCCTGAGGAATCAGCAAGGATGTATGTGCATCCTGATTGTACAAGGGTTTGCATATAGAGACATAGGCTTAAAAAACTGTACTTGAGAGTTAAGATTATACTGTTGCAATAGTACAGTTTTTTTTCAGAAATGGAAGTTGACAGCCAAACCCAAAATTCAGGTCTCAGAACTGTATTTGTACCAGAAAACGAAACAGACGCAAATAAATGAAACACCCACGTAGATCAGTTCTGCTCATCCAGTAGTGTCATCTGCACTGACAATAGAACAGCGTGTCACTCCTTTCTAAGCTCCCTTTTTTCAGGTCTTGAGAATCCCAAATCAAAGCATCTACCTATATCAGGGCTTCTCTATGGCCTTGCCGTGCTCCTACAGCTCCCACAACAGAAAAGAACCAACTTTTATTTTTTTCTGGCATTTCCCTCACTCAAACATCCTGAATTGCTTAGTATAATATTATTCTTATATTAATATATGATCTCATCCAAATGTTCTATTGTCCTTACTCTAGCAACACCCATTAATCCCAGCAGTACTGGCTCGTTGTCCTCCTATCTGCACAGCTCAGCAGAACATCTTACACGTTGTCTCACACCCGTTTTCCAGATTTAGGCTTGGAGTGTTACCTACATCCCTGTGCCATCCTTCTGCTTCAGGCTGCCTCTCTAGCTGCTTTGCCAGAGTCCTGTCAGAATAAAAGAAATAACTTAATGCCTCTCGACATCAGTGCGTAACTGTACTGGTAAAAAATTGCCCAAACAGAAAATACTGGTCAACATGGTCGCTCAAATGCGACCAAAAGAAAGAACTCACAACTAATAACCCAGGCAACCGTGACCAGTTACAAATGATAAGAGAGAGAAAACTTAAAAAACAAGAGAAGACATAAGAGGATATAGCTGTTAGAAAGCAACTAGAGAGGTAACTGTGSGGTGGACATGTTTCCAAAGCCTGAAGCCTGATGGCTCATTCAAGATGAAGACTATAGTAGTAGTTGTCCTCTTCAGGAACCCCAGGCAAGCTGATACTGAAGCACTGGTAGGAATTGTTTACGTCTGCTTTCCAGCTTGCTTGTGCCTCTCAGTACATTATTCCAGCATACTCTAAAAATAAAGACCCTCTGGAATGGTGCAATGGAAGCCATCCATGCCACTGTCCATGGAGTCTAGGGAGGCACAGCTACTGGGGGTGTCCCATGACATCCGTGACACAGCATCGTCTCTAGTGACCTCTGCGATTCTGCCTTCCCTGGTAGCAGAGATCACAGAGAGGCATCTTGCAAGCAAAGGTAAAGTCAGGAGTTTCATAATGTGTGCAGGAAAGGAGGCTACAGTAACAGCATTTTCCTGCTGTGTCCTTGTAGCCATTTCTAAGCAGTAAGCTCATTGAGAAAAGTGCGGCATCATGTGCTAACCAAGGAGGTGGAGGTGACCTTGGAGATGAACAGTGAAGTGTCACCCCTACCCAGTGCCCACGCTGTGCCACCAGCGTGTGCACATCCCGTATGCACTCCGTGTCCGGAGCGGTCTGTCCCGATCACAGCAGCCACCCAGCCCCTCTGCGGCTCCCAGGAGTTCCTGCTGCAGGAGAAGCCTGCCTGCATTCCTCCCACCTGGAAATGAAGTGGTCTTGATGGAGCCATGGATAGGCCATTCCAAAAGGGGTTGTCTGGATTTTACTGCCCTGTTGTTATCCCTGGCTCTGGAGGTTGCCCACATGRAGGAGCAACTGGTGCCTGTCTCATGCGAAGTCCGTAAACTCCACAGGTATTTTTCTGAGCCCAGAGTAAGTCTTCCATAGCTCGATGAAGAGGATTGCAGCTGCGTTTTACCCACCCTGTGCACTGTAAATGCAATGAACCCTAATCCTGCCAATTGTAACAGTTACCTTGAGAGAGATGCCTTTGCATTCCTAGCATGTACGAGCTATTCAGGCACATGGAGTTGCTTTGATCATGTGCCTCTTGCCTGGTTTTGAGCTGAATCATGATTTAGATGGTTACTGTGAAAAAATGTTGTCAAGACAGTACCTCCCTACCCTGCCATATCCATAATGTGGGACGGGGTCCAGAAGAACAGCCCGCACTTCCTTGCTCTGCTGTCACCAGCAAATGGAGCTTGGAGCTGTGCTGCTCCAAACTCAAGGAGATGCAATCCCAAAATGTGGCTGTGGTGACACGGGAGACTTGTCTTTGTGCCAGAGACTGCCGTTGGGTTGGGTTGGTGGCTGGGCCTCCCTTAGATAGTGATCCATCTCCTCCCCAACAGGCTTGTCAGGGAGAGGAGGGCATGATGCCAGGATGGCGACACCGCCTTAGAAAGTGGTTATCTGGTAGTTGGGAATATCCTGAAGCGGGTCAACAGCTCTTAGGAAACATCTGTTAGACAAGATACACCACATTACTTAAGCAAGGATTCTACTTTTTATGTTTCTATTTAGAGAAACTGTTGCAGGAGATAATGGAGGTGATTGCTGAYAATGTTCCTCAGGAAGATTTTAAATTCTTCTGCCAGAAATTGCAACTGCGTCATGCTGACATCGAGTCTCTTGAGGAGAGCAGGTTAGATACAAATTCACAGAGTCACAGGATCTTGTTATTTTATTTCCCAATTTTCTTTGCTTTCTATCTCGTGAAATTATAAATTTTATTATCTATCTCAATTATAAAATTTATGTGTTTGTTTTTGTTAAATGAGGAGAGGTATGTCTGTGTAAACCTCAGCATCTCCAAATCTTAGATTTTTTCAGACATTTCATCTTCATAACTCTTTTCCCATCAGGACTGAGGAACTGCAGGAGAAAATCATCACAGCACTGAACATCTGGAGAAGTGAAAACCAAGTCCTGACTTCAGCTGAAATGGTAGATAAGTTGATCAGAATCCTCGTAATGACAGGCATGCATTACCTCACCAACAAAGTGACTGCTTTAAAACTCTATTCACAAGCAGTAAGATTATAAATACATAATGTACAGAGGGTACTTAGGATAGGRATGAAAGGTGGTGGTATTGTTCTTTTCTTTTATTCCGTGACAGTTATTATCACTTTGAGCATTGTGTATCTTGAGAAAAACTTGGTTTGTTTTTACAGAGCAGCTCAGCATCTGGTATTTATCTTCTAAAAAATGAATGTAAAAAGAAAAATCAAAAGATACACTTTTTTTTTTTCATTGCCAAAGTGAGGTAATTTTAATATATTTAGAAATTCATAAAGTGCTGTAAAATTGACAGTGCATTAAATCTATTACATCAAATTGTTTTGTGGCGATATTGCCAGTTTAAAGTCTTGAATGCCGTAAAAAAAAAAAAAATCCTTCATGGTTTTACCAGGTTGTTCAGAACATGGTTCATGTCTCTAGTTCCTGATCTCCGGGCTGAACCTATTTCATGTTGAGGGCTCTATCCCCGAATCCCAGAAGGGCTGCGGTTGGAAGGGGCCTCTGGCGCTCATCTCGTGCGACCCCCTGCTCCAGCAGGGACACCTGGAGCCGGGGCACAGGGCGGCATCCAGGCGGCGCTGGAGCCGTGTGGAGCTCTCCAGCATTCCCGGGAATTCCCAGGCATTCTGGAGCACACGGTGAGCTCCAGCAGGGTGTTACCCTCCTGCCTTACCCGAGCAGCGTGTGGACATCGCGAAGAAACGGCCCCTTTCCTGGTAAYTGCAAAATGTGGGAGACACGTTCAGGAACCAGGAGCTCGGCGGCGCCTCGCGCCCTGCCCCGGCCTCGCGGTCACGGTCCCCCCGCGGGCGCCGCACTGCGCATGCTCCGCTTCACCCCGCGGCGGCGCCACGCGGCCGCCATGGCAACACCCCCTCCTCCCAACGGCCGCAACGGCCGCGCGGGCGGGCCCGCCCCCAGCGCCGCCCGCCCAATGGCGCCCCCGCACCGCCCGGCAGACGCCGTCACCCCGTGGCGCGCGCGCGCCCATTGGCTCAGCCGCCGCGCGGCGTCACATGGGCAGAGATCAGCCCAGCGGCGGGGGCGGGGCGGCTGCCGCATGTGCCCCGCCCCGCGCTGAGGCGGCGGCGGCGCAACCGCCACCGCCACGGGCAGCCGGAGCCGGAGCCGCCCGCGGGAGCCGCCCGCCCGTTCGCCGCGGCGATGCTGAACCTGCTCGATGTCGGCGGCTCCCTCCTGGAGCGGGTGGCCGTGGGCAGCCCCCTCTCGCTGGCGCTGGCCGCCTCCGCCTTCGTGCTGAGCCTCGGCTACCTGCTGCAGCTCGGCTACCGGCGCCGCCTCGGCCCCGGACACGAGGTACGGCCGGGGGCGCGGGCGGCRGCGCCTCGGGGAGCGCCGGGCGCCGCTACCCTGCGGCGGCACCGCGGGGCGGGGGAGGGTCGCTAAATCCCTCGGTTTTCTGCCTTTCAACTCTTCAAATTATTTAATAATAATTTCCAAAAAGCTCTGTGTATAAGGTCTCTATGTATAATAGTTCTTGCATGGTTGTTCCATCGATTTATGGTGCTCTGAGGAAAACTCCATGCTCACTTCTCCCTTTCTTCCTCAGAACTACCCACCCTACATCTCGTCGAGCATTCCCTTCCTTGGACATGCCATAGCGTTTGGAAAAAGCCCCATTGAGTTTTTGGAGAAAGCTTATGACCAGGTTTGTAACCCCCTTGACCACCAGAGCAGCTGCTGAATTATTTTTGCTTATCTGTTAAGTTCTCTCGCCTGGATCTGCTTAGAGCAAGTTCAGTCTCATTAACTGACTTGAATATGGTATGAGGCATGTGCTGTAGATTTTATTTTATTTTATTTTATTTTATTTTATTTTATTTTATTTTATTTTATTTTATTTTATTTTATTTTATTTTATATAACTTGCAATTTTTTTTTAGTAAAAAAGAAAGCAACCCATTTGCTGTCTCATGAAACTCAGCTAGGATGTGTCTTTGGGTAATGTTTGTAGTTCAATCTCAAGAAGCTAAAAAACCTTTTATTACCTTCTTTAATCCCACTCTTTACTAATCTGTTTGAGACCAGGTTGGAATGTAATAATCTACCTTCTCTATAGATTATTTAATGGCATTAAAGGCCCTTTGCAATAGGAAGAATGCTGGTGCATGAAAGCACAGCAATTTAAATAGTCCCAAAGGAAAAACAAACTAACTAATGCACTAGAGCCTCGATTGCAGTATAAAGTATTGATCTGCTTCACAGTGCCTAAAACTTTGAAGAGTCACAGGCTTAAATCTGTGACTGGTTTGCTCAGAGAAAGGCTGAGATGAGGCTAGATAAGGATCTCCTGGAGATGACACTTACACTTTATAATCTTGTTTGTCAATTAGCAATGTGTAACTTCAAACCTACAATTTTTTAAGGCAGTGTACGTGAATTGCTGTAGGCTGCATGTCCTGTAGTCTGTTTGCCAGTTTTCTGGTGTCATTAATCTTTCATTTAACCTCCATTTTTTTTTCCCTCCAAATTAGGTGAGTCTTACAATTGGGAGAAAGATGATTATTTATTATAATGTAACATGTATTAGTTATAATGTAACACATCACTATACTGTTAGATATCACTGTATTGAACACAAAATTTAAATGTGGCTTAGAATATTCRTATCCATGTTATACCTCTAGCCACTTCTTAGGGGAATAGTGACTTGRTGCCGGTGTCCTCTGTCCTTTCTTTACTTTTTCTTCCTTTCTTCCTTATTGCTGCTTACAATGACACATCCAGCACAATATGTAGGTGTGTATCTGATCAATAGAAGGTGGTCAGTCCCCAACCACATTGCAGAAGTTGTTGCACTAAAATAGTGTTGTCATATATCAACCTATATCTTAGGAAAGGCTGCACCTGACAAGATTGTGATTTTATGCTTACAATGAACTGTTGTTCTTTTCCTTCTCAGTATGGGCCTGTGTTCAGTTTCACTATGGTTGGCAAGACATTTACCTACTTGCTGGGCAGCGATGCTGCTGCTCTCCTCTTCAACAGCAAAAACGAGGATCTGAACGCGGAGGACGTGTACTCCAGGTTAACCACCCCCGTCTTTGGCAAGGGAGTTGCCTACGATGTCCCCAACGCGGTATGTGTTTGAGACAKACGTTGAATGGAGCAGCAAGTGCATTTCGTTCCCAAGCAGGGAGCCTCTGCAGTGGTKGTTGTTGTTTGTGCACGGCTCTCACAGCGAGGCACGCTGCAGGTGGCACATGATCAAGATTGAACACGTCTGTGCTGCTTGATTTATTATTGGGCTGTTCATCAGTTCTGATGCTAATTCTTGGTTTTGAAACCATCTGGTTYCATGATAATGGTAAGGCTGATAAGTGAGTCATTTTTTCCTTACGTTACAGAGTGTACAGTTTACTTTTCCCTTGAGAACAAACTTAGGCTTTCCTTTTGGGAGAGCTCAAGAATGGTTTTTTTTTTTTTTTTTTCATTCATGCCATATTAATGTACATGCATTTGAAACTTGACTTCGGAAATTTTGTCTTGCTTGGACAAGAATCAGTCTTTTCGGATGTGTTTGCAGAATATGCAATCTGCGTGGGTCTCAGAGTGGCACGTCACATTTCTGAGCTAAGTGTTTGTTGCCTCCTTTTGCCACTCTTGCTGTTTTAAATGTGTTGCTTGTCAGGGTAGGCAGACTCTTAAGGGCAGGTGTCTGCTGCTCACTGAGTAGATCTGCTCCCCTGTCYTGTCTAGGATGTATTGGCTCTGACAGGCTCTCTGGCTTGCAGAGGAGCCTGGTGGCAGGAGCGCTGCTGGGCTCTATCTTTGGATTTTCAGTTGTGGCTTTGTGCAGGTTTTTTCTGCAGATGCCAGTCACTTGGTCTGCCCAGCCATCAAGACTGCCTCCTTAGCTTAGTGTTCGGTAGAAGTTTCTCCCTTTGCAGGTATCCTTTGGCAGGGAAACACAGTGATAATTGTCCTTTGAGTTACTTGGCTTAGGGTCTGAAATCCCCAGGCTGTTTTCCGCTAGCCCAGCACGGGCTGGCCTGTCCTTCCTTGGCACCTTGCAAATGTGCCTGTCTCGCTGCTCATGGCTTGTGTACCCTGTTGCACTGTTGAAATGCAGGGACTCCACTGCATTCAGAAGCCTGAAGTATGTGGGAAGCAACCAAGTAACCTTTCTTGTGCACCTTCTGTTCTGTGCTTGTCTTTACAGAACATGCAGGGCCTTTGGTAAAAAAATGACCGATTTTGACCTGTTACTCAGGATGCAGCGTAGTTCTGGAGAGTAGATGCCCTAATCCATAAACAGGACTTAAAAATTAATAGAATAGTTTTCTGAGAAGGTGACACATGAACCCATTGTTCTCTGTGAATAATTGGCTTATTTTTACCAGGAGATTTATTAGTTGTAATTCTGTATGTAGAAAAAGAGCAAGTTCAGCAAGCTGTGGAGCTGAGCACTGTCCTGGGAAGCAGTTTGCTTCCTGTCTCAGTTGCTCTTCTTGGGCCAGGAGATCAGTGGGCGCTATGAAAGAAAGGTGAACTTCTAAATGAGAGGTAAGGTGCTATAACATGAGAAAAGGGGGAAGAAGTAGGCGGGGGATGAGCAAGAAGGCTGCAGAACTGAAACTGTGTCCAGACWTTGCAGGACAGGTCTCATTAGCTTTGGGATTATGTATATAGTTATTAATTAAATGCCAAAAGTGTATTCCATATGTTGACTCCACATGCATTTTGCTTCTTCATTGTTAAAACCTAGCACAGAAAAGAATTAATTATTTTCCTATTTTGGTAGGATGAGGAATTTGCAGTTCTTAAGCTAGTACTTTTGCTTGGGAAATGAAATAGGTGAAACATAGAAAGTTATTTAAATCTCAGTATTTGCTGAATCCTTCCAATCCTATCATAATTTTTTATTTTTTGTATGTTGTTATCGCGCAAATAGTAATAAATTGATTATTTACATTAATAAGTGTTACCACTTTCTTTGTTCTTCTAGGTGTTTCTGGAACAAAAGAAGATGCTCAAAACTGGTCTGAACATTGCCCAGTTCAAACGGCATGTGTCTCTCATTGAAGAAGAAACGAAAGAGTATTTTAAAGCATGGGGAGAGAGTGGAGAAAAGAGTAAGCAAGATCTGTGCAGGAACGAAGGCCAATGCAGGATGTGTGTGCGTATGTGTGTTGTAAAAGTGATTTACTGCAGCAGTGTTAAAGGACTAAGAAAATGATTTGGGCTAAACTCTACTAGACATAAGGAGAAACATGCAAAATAAGGTAAAATTTAAGGCTTTGTGAGATCTTAGCTCAGGTGTCAAATACACTGCAGGTGTGTGTCCRTAGGGTGGGTGAGATCAGGGTGAGATGGGTGTGCTGGTGTAGTGGCACAGCTTGTGTTCAAGTTGCTGGGGTACTTGGCCACCATGGTTGTTGTTTCTGCAGCTTCCCGGGGATCAGTAGGCAGCTGGGTGAGATTCGTCTTCTCCTYCCCGCCTGGCTCTCCTTGCTGGGCTCGTTGCTCCTGGCCATTGCAAGCCAGCGGTGAAAGGAAAAGTTGTGCAGTATTCACCAATTCACCAGTTACTGGCTTGGTTGCCAGTAACTAACGGGCTGCCTGTGGATTTGCAGTTCAAGTTTAGGTCCTTCTTGGTGTCTTTTTAGGTATGGTAAGGATTGAACTTCTGCGTGGTTTGCCTTGTATGCAAGGATTGATAGCTTTCCTTGAAATATGCCTAGGAAAAGGTTGAAATCAGCAACCTAGTTTAGTTATTAGGAGAGTCTGACAGACATAAAGTTGTTCAGATTTTTCAAGGAAAACAAGCTGAAACTTTAAATAAGGTTACAAATCAGTGTTTATTTGGTAACTTTTCTCCTACACAAAATAAACCTAACCTGTAAGGCTTCCTGTCTTTCCTGAGATGCATTCTCACTGTTCCCTTTCAAATCTTTCCCCAGACCTGTTTGAGGCCCTTTCAGAGCTTATCATTTTGACCGCGAGCCACTGCCTGCATGGGAAGGAGATCAGGGGTTTGCTGAACGAGAAGGTGGCCCAGCTCTATGCCGACCTGGACGGGGGCTTCACTCATGCTGCGTGGCTCTTGCCGGGCTGGCTGCCCCTGCCTAGCTTCAGGTGAAACAGCTTAAAACCTTTCTAAGTGTTTTATGTGTTATTTTGTATGAAGTTGCTAATACCGATGCTTTGAATTGCAGACGCCGCGATCGAGCGCACAGGGAAATCAAGAATATCTTCTATAARGTCATCCAGAAACGTCGGAGCTCAGAGGAAAAAGAGGATGACATCCTCCAAACTCTCCTCGATGCTTCTTACAAGTAAGCAAAGGGGTCGGACACTTGCTGTTTTATCTCGGCTTGTGTCAGGAGCAGCGCAGCCAGCAGCACCAGGGAGTGACGGTGCCCCCGTGCTCGGCGCTGGGGAGGCCGCCCCTCAAACACCCTGCTCAGGTTTGGGCCGTCGCTGCACGAGGGACACGGAGGTGCTGGAGCTCCTGGTCCAGAGGAGGGCAGCGGGGCTGGGAAGGGGCTGGAGCAGAGACCTTGCRAGGAGCYGCTGYRGGAGCTGGGGCTGTTCAGCCTGGGGGAGGCTSTGGGGAGACCTCACTGCTCTCTGCAGCTGCCTGGAGAGCTGCAGACAGGACATGAGGGAACAGCCTCCAGTGGCACCAGGAGAGGTCCAGGTTGGACGTTAGGAAGGATTTCTACCTGGAAAGAGCCGTGAAGCTCTGGAACAGGCTGTCCGGGGAAGCAGCGGGGTCCCCGTCCCTGGCAGTGTGTGAGGAACATGCAGAGGAGGCCCTGGGGACAGAGGTTAGCAGGGGTGGTGCTGAGGGGCTTGGGTGATCCTGATCCATGATCCTGAAGGCCTTTCCCAACCCTAACGATCCCACATGGACTCTGTAGATGACTGTGCCCTGGCTTTGTGGCACTTAAAGGCCCCTTCCCAGCGAGGCGCGAGCGGGTTGCGCCGGGCGCGTCCGGAGGCTTCGCTGACATCCGTGCCTTGGCGCAGGGACGGCCGGGCGCTCTCGGACGCCGAGGTGGCGGGCATGCTCATCGGGCTGCTGCTCGCCGGGCAGCACACGTCCTCCACCACGAGCGCCTGGCTCGGCTTCTTCCTGGCGCGCGACAGGGCCACGCAGGAGCGCTGCTTCGCCGAGCAGAGGGCCGTGTGCGGGGAGCACCTGCCGCCCCTCTCCTACGACCAGGTCGGTGCCCGCGCTCCCGCCAGCCCCACAAAGCCCTGACCCAGCCCCGGACGCTCCGTTTCCTCCGTCTCCTCCTTCCCCAGACGCTTTGCAACYGGCTGCTGTTTTCTGCCAGTGTTGGCCAAAGGAGCTTCGGTTCCTGTCAGCTCTGTTAAAACGACCAGCAGGATCTTTGTATTCCCACAGAGGGAAAAAAAACGCGCAGTGTGAGCTTGCTCTCCAGCCAGACATTAGAAAACACGTGTGGGACAGTGCGTAACCCTGCTGGCCAGGGCATGGCTTAGTTGAATTACCTGAAAAAGCAGAAACACAAGGCAGCTAATGAAGTACCTGTAAACATGAGGTGCTTATTCTTTGAAATTAAGTAGGATGAAGTGTCTTTTTGTGGACGCTGCATAAACTTGACAGTATCTTGATATGTCATTATTTCCTTTATGTTTGCAGCTGAAGGATCTCAGCTTGCTGGATCGCTGTTTGAAAGAAACTCTAAGGCTGAGACCTCCTATCATGACGATGATGAGACTGGCCAAAACCCCGCAGGTGAGCGCGACTGCCGGGCATGGCCTTGGTGCATGGAAGTGGCGCCTGTCGCCGGGAGAGGCCGGGGCCTTCCCCAAATCCCCCAGGGACAGGTGTGAAGCCAGCCTGTAGCCTCAGCCCTCTGCATTCCCTGTGACCAGTAACCGGCCCATTAGGGAATTGACTGCAGCCGCCTCGTCGCAGGCTCAGGAGACGTGGCCGGGGGGACCTCGGGGTGCAGGGATGTGTCCTGGTGCTGTCCCGGGGCTGCTCTGGGGAAGGAAGCATCTGGGAACCCCATTCCCAGCTTCCCTCAGCCACTCCCAAGGCTTCTTGCAGGCTGGGAGGGCAGCTCGGGGAGCTGGGTGGGAGCCGACCAGCGCATCCCACGGGGACCTTGTGCAGCCTCAGGAAGAAGCTGCTCTCATGGAATCGTCTTCTCCTGAACAACTGATATCCCCCAGGTTCAATTGGAGCAACTTCATGGGAGCTAAAGACCAAATCCAGAGGCAGTTACTAAAGGCTTCTGAAGAGGCTGCCTGTGTTTTTACTTTGCAAGGGTGGTAGTAACTGGTGAAAGTCTTAATCTATAAGTCAAAGTCTCACAGTGGGATTTTGAGTATTGCTTCAGCAAGAGAAAAGGGAGGATTTTCTTGTAACCCCGAGGTTCTCTTTGCCCTGCAGACTGTTGCTGGCTATAACATCCCCCCGGGCCACCAGGTCTGCGTGTCCCCCACCGTGAACCACAGGCTGAGGGACACCTGGAGAGACGCCCTCGACTTCCAGCCCGACCGGTACCTCCAGGACAACCCGGCAGCTGCCGAGAAATTCGCCTACGTGCCCTTCGGCGCCGGTAGGTAACGGGAAGGGGGAACCCGGCCGTGCGCGGTGAGCTCGGGCCTCCTGCTGCTGCCTGGGGCTTCCCTTCCTGGGGAAGTGGCCGTGGAAGAAGGCACTTGTGCTTAGCAGCAGGTGTAAGCAATGCTTGGAGGAGCAATTAAAAGGATGGTCTGGTTAGCACGTGTCACATTTAAATTACTCAAGTGTCAAGGTGAAAGCCTGTTCATGYAGCCCATAAAATACAAGTTAATTACAGGTTGTAAAAGAAGTCATTTTGAGGTCGTAAAATGCAGCTAGAGATTTGTAACTCAGGGATTTGCAGCTAGGGCTGCAGTGCAGCTCCCGGGATTAGGAACTYGGTACCGCTGCCTAAATTCCCCCTTTGCGGGGAGAAGAGAGCGGTGGGATCCAACTGGGCCRTGTTGTGGGAAAACACAACTCGGCTGTAACTACAGGACGCTCCCGGGATCAGGGCTCCCTGGATCCCTTGGGCAGTTTGGAAAGGAGCGACTGCAGCTCGTGGCAAACTCCAGGGTCYGCTTAGTTCCTCGGAGCCCGTGTCGGCGGAGGAGCTTTGGTAACGGCTGTGGCTTCCCTTGCAGGCCGCCACCGCTGCATCGGGGAGCAGTTTGCCTACGTTCAGATCAAGACCATTTGGTCGACTTTGCTTCGTTTGTATGAATTTGAGCTCATCAATGACTATTTTCCAACTATAAATTACACAACAATGATACATACCCCAAATAACCCAGTGATCAGATACAAGAGGAGGGTGCTTTAAGTTCCAGCACGAAAACCTCATCTATTTAAGTTGTGTCAACTAACAGACTTTGGAAGAAAACTGTGACAAAAATGAACTGTTCCATCTAATGAATATGAAAGCAACAATACTYGACTACTATAAGCGTATTTAATTTGTTTTTCCATGCTTTATTAATGCTGCTGTATGTAATTGCTTGTTTTACAACTTTGTTGCTTTTCTTAAAAAAGAAAACTGACTTTTCTATTTGTGGAACATTTTTAAAGTGCATGCCCTCCCTTTCCTTAAAGGTGAGGAAACAATTCCTACAACCTGGAATCTCTGTTTCTGCAAAAGAGTAAAAACTTTTCCCCCGGTAAGGAGAGAGGCCTCTGTGTCCCTTGCAGCAAGTGCCGGGTGCCCAGAGCCCTGCGCGCGCTGCCAAAATACCGGATTGGTCTGAGAATTAAGTGACTTTCCCCGCCTAACTTGATGCTGCTGTACCTGGCTTGGGCTCAAAGGCACAGAATTTTCTAGAAATAATTCTGGAAATTGGTACTTTGTAAAAGGCTGATACAAGTATGAGAAGCGACAGCCCGGGGTACAACCGCCTTGTCTTCTCTGAAGAACTGTGTAGATCGAGTGGTCAAAGGAAATGAAATGTGAATGCTCTCTGTGCTGGCTCCTGTAGSATTGTTACATGGTGTGTGTTCAAAGGTGATAGATGGGAATAAGCTCTGGTTCAAAGAAACTTTGATTAAATCTCTCAACAAACCTCTTGGGGAGTTTTTCTGTACTCGTCAGCCCTTCAGGTGTTTTAGTTGTGAAAACCGTTTCTGCCTCTGTAATTCCGGTTTCGGTATTACAGGTATAAAGTTAGCCCCACCTGGAGCTTTTCCTTCCGTTCAGCGGTGCTCACTCCAGCCAGAGCTTGCCCAGTTTGCCTGGTCTAAACCTACATCGGGCCCCCTCTTAAAAACAAAGTCTGTCTTTAATCAGCACCTGCTGCTCTAGGCCTGGGCCCTGGGACGAGGGTCTGCGKGGCAGGGCCATTCCAAACAGCACAACACTGTTAAAAGGATGAAGTTTTTATTTCAGTACTTTGACAAAATACCCATAAAATGCAAAACTTCTACCCTTACAAAAATAGGTCTCTACAAGTGAGATGCTGCCCGTGGGGCCGGGGCAGCGGCGCCGGCAGCCTGGCCGCCAAGCGCGGGGCCCGTCACCGCGCGGAGCTCCGCTTCCCTACCACACGCCTTGCGTCCTCGCAGCCGCTTCATAAATACACGCTTCATAAGTTAATCGTTTAAATTAGCATTCCACAAATATACAGGTCAGCGGGTGGTTTTGCTGTGCACGGGGGCCTATGTACACGGTGGCGGCGGCGGCCCCGCTCCGCTCGCAGTGGGTCCCGCCCGCGCAGAGCTGGGGAGCTCGCAGCGGGTCCCGTGGGGCAGCGCTGGCCGCAGGCACAGGCGGGAGYGACGTTATCTCCTCGTAGCAGAGTGCAGCTGCGTGTACGACGGGGCACCTGCCGGGGGCAGAGACTTGAGTCAGAACAAAGATTTTAATCAATCAGAATCACAGACTTGAAAGAAGGAAATGCTCATCCGCAACCCGCCTGGTGTTTAGATCAGTGAGCAAGAAGGGCAGATTTTGCACAGAATCTTTCAAGAAAACATTTCCCCAAGTAGAGGATTCTGTGCTAAAGCAAAGCTGGGACGCAGTAACTCTGGTGTCAATGATCTTCCCCCAGGCAGGTTGGATGAGTCGATCCCATCGGCCTGACAACTCTGCTGCACAGCAGGAAAGTGGCTGTTTGTGGGACAAAACGACTGTCAACCCCTCCACCCCCCCAGTCTTTGGGGTCCATTAAAGCTGCCAAACTGCTTGAAAGCCTCTCGACTTTCCTGGACCTTTAGCGAGAATGGCCTTAGGTGGGTACAGCAGTGATTTATAACCAGTATGAACTTGCAATAGAATTGGGTTGAGCTGAAGTCTTTTCAGAAAAGAATGGCTCTGCTTACACCCTTCTGAGGAAAGTTTTGAGGGGTTTCGCTCCAAAGAAGCTGCAAGAGCTTCTTTCCTGTGCGGGTGCCAGAGCCCTGGCACAGGCTGCCCAGGGAGGCTGTGGAGTCTCCTTCTCTGGAGATCTTCCAAACCCACCTGGATGCCGCCCTGTGCCCCGTGCTCTGGGTGTCCCTGCTGGAGCAGGGGGTTGGACTGGCTGATCCCTAGAGGCCCCTTCCAACCTCAGCCCCTCCGTGACTGTTCCCCATGTAGGTCAGCCTCAGCTACGCGCCGTGCCCGCACGCTGCAGGCGGAGGCACGTTCACAGCCTCCCGAAGCGGCTCTGCGCGTGACGCCCCGCGGCCGCGCGGCACTTGCCGGCGTGGGCGCTGCCCAGGCGCCGCTGCAGGGCCTCCAGCCGGCTCAGGTAGTCGCTCAGCGCCCGCTCYGGGTCGTAGTGCTGCAGCTGGGAGCAGGCGAACGGCAGCGGCCCCGAGTCGGCCGGGAGCCTGCGGAGACACGAGAGGAACGTGGCYGCGAAGCGCCAGGAGGAGGGCAGGTACCGCAGGCAGGGCCACCTTCACTGAACGCCTGGTGCGCCGCCCCATCGCTTACTCTCCCTGACCTTTACTGCCCACTGCCTCCCCCAGGAAGGCTGCCCTTCCCAGGGGAATTGCCTGCGTCAATCTGCTGCTCCGTTCCTTCAGGATCTGCTGCTCCRTTCCTTCAGGATCTGCTGCTCCCTTCCCTTGGGATGGAGACTGACGAGCAATTTCCTAGCGAAACTCCAGCAGGAGCAGCAGTAGATTCAGGATGGCTTCCCTATTAGGCTTGTGTGAAGTAGAGCACAGCCACCTCTATGGAATCCTGCCTCTCTTCCCTACTTTTTGCAAGCAAAAGCCAAGAGCAGCTAAAGTAGCTGCTCGATCCGTGTAAACAACTGTCTCTGCTGCCCCACGCCGAGCTCACAAACGTGCAGCTGCTCTGTCCACGGAAAACCAAAGCGCTGGATCCGCTGGCACCCGACGCCCGGACCCCCCAGCTCCCTGTGGAGTCACCAGAGGCCAGCACTGCTCTAAGCCCTGTGCCAGGGAAGCAGAGCCCTTTTCCCTGCCTTCCTCCTGCCCGTGTCCCAGCTCGGGGGGGCTGCCCAGGCGTTTCATGGAGCAGGTTGCGGCGCTGCCTCCAGGCCCCCGTGATTCATCCCAGCTCTGGGAAGTCCCGGCTGCACCAAGAGCCGGGAAGCTGAGCTCTGGGCCCGGGCCCCAGGCTGGGCTATGGGAATGGCACGTTCAAAACCTAGGAATCTACTCTCCTTACAGGAAAAAAAAAACCCTTATGGCATCTTGGCTTACAAACCTTCCTGATAAAAACGCTCGTGCATTTTAGTAAATGGAATTCTGAAAAGGGAGAAACATGTAAAACACAACATACTTATGCTGAAAATTTAYAGGAGATCTGGGATACTCCAGGTCTGATCTGGATCTGTAAGAATGTCTTTGTTCTCCATAAAGATCCATGCCAGCCGAGAACGAATCCGGCCGTAATTCATTACCTAAAAATATAAGCAGCATTGTCATGAAGAGCACAGAAAAAGAAAAGAGACCATTTTGCACTTTACTGGAAATTCCATGGCAGGTTCTCTGTTTGCAAGCCACAGATCAAGGCTACGTGTTAAAAGTCAGGCTGACTTTGCCCAGMCAAGAGCAACGTTCTCTGTCTCTGCCACTCGGGAGCTGGGAAAGAGGCCCCCAGAGCATGTGGGGAGCAAGGGATGGGTAAGAAAAACTCCTTCTCCCTAGGGAACTAGGAATACGAATCTCTCACGGGAAAGCCACTGAGGCAGGGCAGACTGTTAGGAGCAGCACAGAGGGAAAGTTGCCTTTTTCCCTTTGTGAATCCTGCCCACAAAGAGGCAAAACAAGACCGGAGACCAGGCGGGTACTTCAGGGTCTGAGCAGACCCTGGAAGCGACCAGGGATCCGAGAACTTCCCYCCTGCCAGCAGCTCCAGCAGAGGAGGGGGACGGCAGCCCGTTCCTCGGCCTGGGGCAAGGAGGGTTGYCCAGCCCCGGGCAGCAGCAGCGGCGCCAACGCAGCCCCTCTCCGCAGCCAGGCCGCCCTGCGACTCACCCGCGGCGTGGCTGAAGGTGTCCCGGCCCACGGCGGGCAGCCCAGAGCCCGTCACTCTGTGCCACCGACGAACCAAAAACCTCATCCTGCAGCAAGAAAAAAGAGAAAACAAGAAAGGAAAGAAAAAAAAAACAACATGTAAGAATTTCTTAAAGAACAAGCAAAATGAGTAGATGGGGTTTTAAAATGTGATGATTAGGTAGGGAACATCCTTATGTACATCCCTAGGCCCTCAAAAAGACCTTTGCCTTTAAAGCCTCCTTTCAGCCCCTCGCCTGCAGCTGCGGCCAGCGAGTCCCGGGYGCAGCAGGGCCGCGGAGCGGCCGCGCTCCGGCTCCCGGGGACAGCCGCGAACACGCAGCCCTGCGCGGCGGGAACAGGAGCACAGATTCACAGAATCACAGAATATTTAAGGTTGGAAGGGACCTCTACAGATCATCTAGTCCAACCTTCCTGCTCAAGCAGGCACACCTACAGCATGTGGCACAGGGYGGCATCCAGGCGGGTTTTGAAGACCTCCAGAGTAGGAGACTCMACAACCYCCCTGGGCAGCCTGTTCCACTGCTCTGTCACCCTAACAGTAAAGAAGTTGCTCCTCACCTGGAGACGGAACTTCCTGTGCTCCAGCTTGTGGCCATTACCCCTCGTCCTATCGCTGGCCRCCAGTGARAACAGCYTGTCCCMTTCCTCCCTGCATTCTCCCTTCCTGAACTTATACATATTAATCATATCCCCTCTGAGCCGTCTCTTCTCCAGAGAAAACAGGCCCAGCTCACTCAGYCTCTCTTCRTACGAGAGATGTTCCATTCCCTTAATCATCCTGGTTGCCCTTCTCTGGACCCTCTCCAGAAGCTCCAYGTCCCTCCTATACTGGGGAGCCCAGAACTGCACMCMGTACTCCAGGTGCGGCCTCACCAGAGCTGAGTAGAGGGGCAGAATCACCTCCCTTGACCTGCTGGCAACACTCCTYCTGATGCAAGGGCAAGGGCACCGTGTTCGGAACAGCAGCCGCCCCAGCGCCCTCGGGGAGCACCCGGGGCCCAGCCCCTCCTGAGAGAGGTTTTCCTGCCCACGTGGCCCCACGAAGACACAGGGGCAGCCTCTCCTTTTACCCATGGGCAGCCCCAGCCTCTGCTGCAGGCTCCAAGGGCAGGAGCAGCACACGCAGCCAGGGCCGGCCCTCGGGGGGACCCAGCACCCGGCAGGCTTCTTCAGCATTTGAGCTGAATTTCTYGTCCTTCATAAACCTCTATGATGCTTAAGCTTAAAAGCTTGACCTTCGGGAAAAAATAAGCTGCAGAAAATACATTTGTAAATAAGCACATGCCCTAGAAATCATTAGTAATCATTCTTTTCTCAAGTTATGGCTGTATCCAATGCATTTTATCACTAACAGATTACTTAATACAGAGCCATGAGGTTTCTCGACTAGAATCAGACTGCTGGGTACCTCAAACTCCTCACTCCTCCTATCACAGATTTTACCTACGCTGTGTGTTCAAGACATCAGCACAACACAGGCAGTGCCATCTCCAGGTGAGGAGGAACTTCTTTCCTGTGAGGGTGCCAGAGCCCTGGCACAGGCTGCCCAGGGAGGCTGTGGAGTCTCCTTCTCTGGAGATCTTCCMGACCCGCCTGGATGCCGCCCTGTGCCCCGTGCTCTGGGTGTCCCTGCTGGAGCAGGGGTTGGACTGGATGATCTCCAGAGGCCCCTTCCAACCTCAACCACTCTGTGATTCTGTGACCACACACAGTATTATGGTACAGAGTTGCTTTGTTTTCACGATTACCAAAAACAAAGCTTAAACAGGATGCAAAAGGAGAAGCTCTGTATCCAGCCAGAGAGCTGGAAAAGCTGCTCCTAGTCTGCAGGTCCACACGTGTGGGAGCTGGAGCCTCCCCGGGTTACCTGGAGATGGCCACGGACACCCTGGCCGCGGAGCGGAACCTGGCGCGGGCGTCGCGGCGCTGCGAGGAGCCCTGGGCGCCGGGGCGGGCGGGCTGGGCGCCCATGCGGGCCAGCAGGGCCAGCGTGGCCTCCTCGCACTCCTGGAAGCCGCCCAGCAGCAGCAGCAGGTACCTCTTCTGGTAGACGAGGGCCTTGCGGAAGCTCTCRGCCCGCAGGTACTTCCCGTAAACTCTCTGCAACGAGACACAAAGGCAGCGCCGTGAGCTCCGAGATCGGGATGCGGTTCGTGCTGTGGGAGCACGGCGTTTCTGTGATGGTTGGTGGCCACCAGCCATGGGCCCAACCCCAGGAGCGGGGCCTGCACTGGGCACACACGTCCCCAGCCTCCAGCCCTCGCCGGGACACGCGGCCTCCTCACTCCCTCCCTGGGGAGCAGGAGGCGCCGCACCTCTAGGCCCGCAGCTCCCACAACTGCCTTGGCACTGGTTTGCTTGGAGCAAGCACAGCAAACACGAAGGATTAGAGACCTAAACCAGACTGAGGACAGCAGCTGCAAGCAGTGTGCGGGCCGGGAAGTCCTCCTACCCTCAGGAGAGCGTTTTCAGAGTGGGAGCCCAGCTCCCTGAGGAAAGCCTCGCTCCGGAGCTCTGCCCTCAGCTTGGAGAGCTCGGCGTCCGCCTGCTTCAGAGCCCGCTGCAGCGACAGCTTCTCCCTCCTCCAGGCTTCCTTCTCGGAGGCARCCAGGGCATCGATGCTAACTCCAGCGTCCGAGGAGTATCTAGAAGACTGGAGAGGGAAAAAATAATCYTTATTTTGAACCACAGCTCTGTAAAGTCTGAGCTATGCCATTCTAGTCATTGATGGGCAGCAGAGGTGAAAGTCACTCAGAAAAAGCATCCAGTGAGTGGGTCTCACCCTGTGCCCGTGCTCTGGGTGTCCCTGCTGGAGCAGGGGGTTGGACTAGATGATCTCTAGAGGCCCCTTCCAACCTCAACCTGCCTGTGATTCTGTCTGAGCTCAGCCTGGTGTCCTAACACGATCCTCTCAGTGGATCCTATGGCCCCATGAGCTCGAGGGTACCTGCACCTCTTTGCTCAGCTGCCCGAGGAGATGCAAGGAGAAGCGGAGGGAATTTCCAAGGGAAGAGCAGTTAACAAATGGTGTTGGGTAAGAAGTGCCCACGTTTGGCACACAGCACGCAGCGAGTCAAGGTGTCCTCCCCACATGGCAAGAACAGGTCACATCTGTTTACTCTGCAGGAGGGAACCCCAAAGAGGCAGATGACTTTAATCACTCCCCCCAGGTGGCTAGGACAGCGTTAAGGTTGTTCAGAGCATAATGCATTTACGCCTGTATATATAGGGCTACGTCAGTGCCACTGAAGACATACGTAGTCTGCAGCGTGCCCCCTGTGCTGGCATCTCCGCAGCTCCTCCTCCAGCTTCATGGCAGCGTTCCTCAGGTTATTCTTCTCCTCGCTCAGGCGGCCCACGAGGCCCGTGAGCTCCGCGTTCTGCCTCAGCAGCCGCTCGGTCAGCGAGCGCGAGGGAGCCCCGGCCTCCACCTGCAAAGGSAGCGGAAAGTCAGGATCATCTGGATCACTGCAGAGGCTCCTGTGCACGGTGGCAACAACAACTTGGCATCCAGAGACAGGAAATGTAAGTGTACAGCCGCATTAGAGATAAGGTGAATAATTCTCCTCTATGCTTATCAAGTACAGATTCACAGATTCACAGAATATTTAAGGTTGGAAGGGACCTCTACAGATCATCTAGTCCAACCTTCCTGCTCAAGCAGGCACACCTACAGCATGTGGCACAGGGTGGCATCCAGGCGGGTTTTGAAGAC